CCCGGGCTGGACTTTCACATTTTCTGTTGCCTCTCCGTCGAGGTCCGTGCTCTCTTCAACCTCCTCATAGGGCTTGTCCGGAAGAGTCAGCGTGCAGGTTGAGTCGCCGCCTGATGGAATGACTCCGTGCTTCATCTGATCTTGATGCTCCTTGCGCCTAGCAGCAGCCAGACGCTGGTTCTCGAGCCCAAGATCAAACAAGTCCATCGCCTTACTGACGTACAACAGGCTGTTAGGGTCGTACGTCAGGCAGAACTTCTCGCCGGCGTGGTCGAGGTAGGTTTCGATCAAAAAGTCGGGACACAAGGCCGGAGGCTTGCTCGGATCGGCTCGCCTCCTCGCAAATCTTTGCTCCCATTCCGGCCCGGATCGGTACGTGACTGTGGCGATCTCGCGCGCCAGCTTCATGCCAGCGTGAGGCGGCACATGGCCGTAGTAAAACCCACGGTTCCAGTTGGGATCCATCATGAGGACCTGACGCTGTGTGTGCCGCATGGCGATGCTGTAGGGATGACTTCGCGCACACCCGCTGATGGAGACGATTCTCCCGACTCGATCTGGAAAGAGGACTCCCGCTGCGAGGGACTGCATTCCTCCCATACTTGATCCCACGCTGGCATAGAGTTTCTTGACCCCCAAGTTGTCCAGCAACCTGAACTGTGCCCGTACCATGTCCTCCATCGTCAGAATCGGAAATCTTGTGGCGTATAAATGTCCATCTGCTGGGTCGACGCTGCTCGGCCCTGTTGATCCGTAGCACCCGCCGATCACGTTTGTGCAGATAACGTGGTACTTGTTAGTGTCCAGTGACAATCCTGGGCCGATAAACTTCTCCCACCATCCTGGCTGGGGGTTTGCTGGCGTCGAGTGGGCGTGTGAAGATGCCGAGAGACCGGTATGAAGGAGGATGACGTTTGACTTGTCTGCGTTCATCTCACCCCAGGATTCGTAGGCAATGTCAAACTCGGGGAGAACGCCGCCCCAGTCGAGAAGTAAAGGCACATCGCAGTGGTAGATCTGTGTCGCTCCGGCAGTGTAAGAGGGCTCTGGCCCGCTGGAATCTGACCGTGCTTCTTTCTTTAAGTTTGCTGATCTCGTCTCGATGGCATCGAGGCATGGAAAGACCATGGCGGGATTTGAGGCGCCGCTCCGCCTGGGTGGTTGAGTATGTACTTGTCTTCCATGGTTGACTGCTTTTGGTGACGCCGATACCGGTAAGATCGTGCTTGCTGCTACACTGAAAACCGGGCTGGAGCTGGATGGTTTTTGTGACAAAGCTTTTGAAGCCTGTCTGAGCCTCGCGGCGAGTTGACTGCGCGGTCTCATAATGGGGTATCTGAATGGTACTGGGAGGAGTAGAGAAAGAAAATCAATGGATCACGGCACCAATGCCAGCAGGAGAAATAGTAAATGTACTGAATTGAAGCTTATTAATCTCATATTGAGTGCAAATCTGAGTGGAGAACAGCTTTTTATATTCAAAGAGGTTCTTTCCCTGGTCATCCCACCCCCGACAGCCGTTGCGGCCGGTCAACCCGTCAATTTCAGAATTCCGTCATTTCACGTGCTTCGCTTAAACTTCTTGGAGCGCGGGATGACAGAAGCTTGGACCAAGTTCTCGACATGGGTCCCGAAACAAGGGTCGAGTCAGATCTGGGCTAGGCCTTGTTGGGATCGCGGGGGAGGTGTGGGGTGATGTCATTGTTGATTGGTGCCTTCTGCTCACATGTGCAGTTGCTTCTCACAGTGACGTCTCTCCACCAGCTATGAATACCGTTGCAAGCAAGTGCACAGCTGCGCAGGAAGTATACGAGTACAAGTGCAAGAATACATATAATATCTATGACCTCTTTTCCTCATCCGTGTTCAAGCAACTGAATTCCCTATCAAGGCTTAATTTACCATCTGCATATCCAAATCACTTCAAAGCCCATATATCTACAAAGACCTCCAATCACATCTCAAGATGTTTGGAAGGATCCTTCGACACCCGCTCCGTTGGTTGAACGAATCTGCCCCAGAGCTTTCCTCAGAGCCCAACGGCGACCATAAGCACGAATCCGCAGTGGCAGGGGATGATACCACCGATGGCACCAACGACTCGCAAGAGACCCCTATCGTCCCGGACTACCAGCCCACCGTCCTTGACGCCATCGTCGTCAAGGAGATGCTCAACAAGGCCTTCAATCTGCCGCCCGAGCTCGTAGACGCTATAGTCGATCTGGGGGAGTACTGGCCGCACACTTCGACAGAAATTGTCTATACTGGTCGATCGCGGGCAGAGAGAAAAGATGCCCGGGGAGGCCACCCAGTAGAGGAGAACAAATTCCTGGTAAGTGTTACACCCATCTTAGCCCATGACCAAATGTCGCGTCATTGCTAACATTCTCAAGCTCCGGACTCCACCCCTCGGATTCGTCCGCCCTCCCTACCTCTCACCACAAGATACCGAGAGACAGGCCCCACCACATCCTCTTCATGACGAATACGAACCCAGCGACTTCCAGGACCTCATCGCCTCACCAGTCGCAACACGCATCCATCCCTGCCGCAAAATTGTCTTTACAATTCTCAGCCACGACCAAGGATGGGGCAATCCCGGCGGCGAGGGCTTGTATACGGACTCGTGGACTTGGTTCGAAGTCGGCCTCGAGCGGTGTAATAAGACGGAAACATCAGATGGAAAAGGCACATTTAGCCCAGTATTCGACCTCGCCTCGCTAGCGACGCTTAATCCGCCCGTCACAACGGATGGAGAAGAGAGCTTGTTCGACTTTCCGCTTCTTCCCCGCGAGGACTGTAAAATACAGTCAAATAGGACGGTGAACCACGAGGCGAAGGAACACTGCGTTGTGTGGAGTCATACGGACGATGTCAGACTTCCGACACCCGATACTGCGGAAAATGAAGATGGAGAAGCTACCGAGAGTGGCGGCATTGTTAAGAACTCTAGCAGCTCAGGTAGTGGATCCAATGGGGAATCTTCCACGGATGGAGACGCTGGTGCTGAGGCTTTTGAAACCGCAGAAGTACAAGCGCTTGCGGACGTTGGGCGCGGCATAGTTACAGGCGATGGCGAGTTTGTCAGGAATCTCAAACTCGGAGATATTGTTACTGTTTGGGCCAAGGCAAGGTTTCCCGGTTGGGTGAATTACGTGGACCGAGTCAAGGTGAATGTTTACTGGGCGATTTAGACAGCTGAGCCCATGTCGTTGAACGAAGCAGTGTTAGCCTAATGGCAGCTTAGAATATAACTTAAGATCCTGCACTATGCCTTCTTAGGTTCTCTCTTATATGTATTTTAGGCCCCTCTTACGCATTCAAGAGGCTTGGTTTACGTGTATCAGCCACGTTGGATTTCACTCCCCATTGTTTAATAATGAGATAATATTTCTTCTATATATCTACCCGTGTCTCCCTACCAGCCTCAAAAATAACGAGAAACATGACAAATCACGGCTTGACCGAATAAGAAACCCTCGAAACGCCTTTACTCCTCGAGATCTTTCTGACGGTCGTCTCGCCACACAAATCCGTAGTATCAACATGCGTCCCTCCACAAGGGTACACCTCTGCCCCGACAATCCGAACAACTCTAAATTTAGTCTCTCCCGGACCCAACATGCTCTTATCAGGGAGTAACCTCTCCAGCCCATTCTTCTTAAACTCGTCTTCATCCCAGAACTCAATCTCTACCGGCATTGCCTTGGCGATATACTCATTCACCCGCTGCTGGATGGGATCTTTCCATTTTCCTTCGATTAATCCTCTAAACTCGCAGGATGCCGAGTCCGGGAAATGCGAGGCTTTGAGCTCGTCGAATCCTTCTACTTCTTTTTCGAGCATGTGGCGGACTGCTGAGCCTAGGACGTGTCCTGCTGTGTGGAGGCGGGAGTAGTACTCTCTCTTGGGAACGTCGATTGCTTGCTCGACTTTGTCGCCTGCTTTGAACTTGACTGACGAGTCATCACTCCAGCGGCCGAAATGCAACACTTGGCCGTCGTTGATGGCGTCCATGCGGACGTGCTTCACATGGAATGTCGAAGAAGATGACGTGTTATTTGAGGTTGGAGACGAGGATATGATACCCTCGTCGGAAGGCTGGCCGCCACCTTGGGGGTGGAAGATGGTGCTCTCCGTGACGACGGCAAAGTCCTGGTCTGTGCCGTCTTTGAAGAGTGCCCGGTTGGCTTCTTCCAGCTCGGGAAAGGGCCATATCGCCGAGACGACGGTTTGGAGCTTGTGCAGCTTGGCGTTGTGGTGGAAGGCGAGGAATGTTCTTGCTGCGGTGCTGCCCTGGAGTTGGTGTTAGTTATGGATGGATGGGTTGGATGAGGAGGATGTGAGGATTACCATTTTCACTTGAGGTGCAAGTTGATTGCTTCTATGAAGTTTGTGAAATCTGATGAAAGATTATTGCAAGACCAATTGGGGCCTTTCTTATGATGAGGGAGTGGAGGTGTTGATACTGCAAGCTGAAGGGAGATTTTGATGTGCTCCAGAGGATGGATTGAGAAGGAAAATCTGCATTTAAAGATCGCTGCGCGGAACAGGACGGCAACCCCGGAGGATGCGGTTGACATGCCCCTGACAGGTTGATGCGCCCTTGTGCATACATTCGAAGATGCTGGAAGAGCGCCGTTTCATTGCATTCACCGCTTAGGAGACAACAACACTGACTGGTATTATTATTTTTCGTAGCGAACATTGATTAACAACGAGAATAGGGGTAAAACAGAGCCACTGGGGGGGTTTTTTTTTTCAGGTGTGCAAATTTCATGGAGTGTACTCTAAAGTACTACTTCGCCCCTACCGTACAGTACGTACGATACTCCTGCTTCAGATCAGGAGCTACACCGAAGGGGTAATCTTCGTACAATGAAGGTAAAAATGAAGGAGGGCGAGAGAGAGTTTTACCAAAGAAGAAGAAAAAAAAAGGAGAAAAGGCAAATATGATGGATCGTAATGAAAGAAAGTGGCAAAAGAAATACGAATGCATCTGCCCCCACGCCGGATTGAACGACGGACCTCAGCATTAACTTCGAGTAAGAGGTTGAAGGTACAAGTGCTGCGCTCTACCACTGAGCTATAAGGGCTGATCTTATTTGTTGAGGTGAGGGCCCGATTTTGAGGCTTATGATTGGATGTGCACACACCACCTAGAGGGACGGAACGCCTTTGCGCAGAGACAATGCGATAGATACTATCTGGTTAAGAAGACTGCTAGTAATTAGAGAATATGATAATGCGCCAAAGATTCAGAGTTATAAGATGAATGTCAAGGTTAATTAATGGTTTGAGCTGAGGTTCTGTCTCCGGGCGGCATTCGATGCCGGGTTAGGGTTGAAGCCAGGATTTCCAGGAAGGGGAGAATCGCATCAAAAGAACATGGGGATCTCTGGGAATCAACAAAATTGCAGTCAGAGACTTCTTTTGTTGTCGTATTAACTGCATAAAATCTACAGGTTTGAGTCACCATCTAAGACCAACTTGGGATGTTACTCATCTTTTCATACTGAGCTTCCTATTCTGGCTGAACAGTCGAGCTCTTGGCGAATAGGATGCCGAGTTGGATCTTGCTGGTTGGAGATGGGCAGGTACTCGTCAGGGCTAAAAACGCCTCCTGACAAGAAGTAGACGAGTACCCCTTGAAAAGGATCTCATACCATGCGTGTATCTGGATAATATAAATACCTCCGTAGCTTCCACCGGCTGCTAGATGACAATTCAACCACGAGATTCCTTCATCCAAGCAGTACGAGCTCACATCACCAAATACCCCGTGTGTCATACCATTCCATAAAAAATATCATATTTCAAAGACAACAAGATGTCCAACTCAGAGCCCGTTTTGCCACTCTCCTCGGCATCAAAGATTGCCTCCTATGCAATCGCCCCAACCAAGCCAAATGCATACCATCATGCCATTGAACTCAGCCAAGCAACCCACAGAATTAACCTCCTCAACACCGCAGCCTGGTCACCCTCTTTCACTCACCAGAAAGACTCCCGTGGACTCCGCATCCTCGAAATAGGTTGCGGGCAAGGAACATGCACCCAGGTCCTAGCCGAAGCAGTCTCTCCAAACGGGCACATCGACGCAGTTGATCCTGCGCCCTTGGACTACGGCGCCCCCTTCACGATAGGCCAAGCCCAGTCTCATCTCTCGGCCGGTCCTCTTGGGCAGCTTATAACCTGGCACCAGGCTGATCCGCTCGAGTTTCTCTCAAGCACAGCCGACGCTCAAGAAGCTGAAAATAGCAAAAGATGGGACATGGCGATCCTAGCCCATTGCATCTGGTACTTCAAATCCCCTACCGCATTACAGGAGATCCTCTCGGCCCTTAAAGGGCGAGTCAAGGAGGTCCTTATTGCAGAGTATGCATTGCATGCTACCGAAAAGGACGCTGTGCCGCATGTACTTGCTGCTCTGGCCCGGGCCGGCTTTGAGGCGCATCGTACGGCTAGTCAGGAGAATATCCAGACTACATTGAGTCCCGTGGGGATCAAGAAGATTGCCAAAGTGGCAGGATGGAAAGTGCAGGGTGAGGATGTGGTTATACCGGAGGCTGAGCTTTCAGACGGGCAATGGGAGGTCGGGACGGTCCTGGGGATGGAGTTTGTGGAGAATGTTGAGAGGGAGATTAGAGATGAGAGAGTCAAGGCTTTTCTTGGAGCGGCGAGGGATGCTGTTGTTGCTGCGGTTGATGGGGTGGGGGGTCTTGAGAAGGTGAGGACCATGGATGTTTGGGCTGCTAGATTGCTTGAGCAGTGAAATGATCACGGGGGTTGGCTATGAGCAGTTTTCCAGAACTCGGACGTGGGGGTTTCATTTTGAACCATGTCCTACCGTTTTGTTCCTTAAAGTTAGAAAGAAGGTCGAAGCTGCAAATTACCAGACTATCATGTCAGTTGCCAACCGCCTTTGCTGATTTTGGAGGTCATAGAACTTTCGCCCTTTCTAGTCACCAGCTGTAACAATGGGGCCTGATAACAAGCCCCGATACTCCCATACACAGGCACCGGTCTTCTTATATATACGCATTACTCTTGTGGAATGGATGTTCTAACTGGCTGGAATAAAGGCGTTGACTTGCTAGAAGTCAAAACTGTCAAATTGGACTCGTGTCGGTATATGAAAGCAGTGGTGTCTGTTTCCTAAGCCCCTAAACAAACAGCCAGGAAACACCGATAGCTGCCCACGGAAGTTCCTGATCGCTGATGGTAGAATAGACCGCATTCTGGAAGAGCATATCGATCGATAAATACCAGTACGGTGTTAAGGCGATGCAGTGGCCGAGAAGCTCCGAGTGAGGGTGCGGCAGCTTCTGACAAAGGTGGAGCTTGGGAATTCGATGATGATTGTGTGGTTGAACCAGCAGCGCAAGCATTTTGACGTTTGACAGGTACAGGGGTGAACCAATCACGTGTAATACGCTAAAGCAGCCCCTTCCTGCACATCAGGCCTTGGCGCAGAGCGCCCGACAGGGATTACTACGGCGACTGCCGGTCCGGCGGTCCCAGACTTCATCACCAATCGACTTCAACCCTTCCGAGTTAAATGTTTGCAGTATGGAAGGAAAGCAACTCATCCTCTTGGTTTCTCCCATACTCCCCAGGGGCGGTGTGACGTATAAACTTTGTCACGACCCTCGGACCTTTACTTCCTGTCGATAATTTGCGAGTGCAAGTAGTCGGCCACCAGCGGTGTTGTTGACAGAGTACTCAAGTGCGGCTGTCCCTCCTGGCCTTGCTAAGTTTATGGACTGCCGACAAATTCTGGATTCACAAGAGCTTATTTGTGCTCGTCAAAACGGCGGAGCAGTGGGTAATATCACTGCATTTGTATTGCTGTGCAGAGTACCAGCGCGCACATCCCCTTTTATCTCTAATACCGTGCTACGGCAGCACGACGCACATTCGGGTTTCTCGAGCGATCCTGCCTCCAAAGATCGGTGGGTGCGTCAAGTCGAAATCTGCTTTTGAAGATGCTCTTTCACGGGAGGTTCGGGGATGACCAAGCGGCCTCCCGACCCTCCGCACCTGTCGGAAATCTGCGAACAGGCCATGTGTAACTGTTTGGGCAGAGACGTGAAAAGCTATGCTCTAACCGTTGAGCAAGTACCGGTAGACCGCTCAAATCTGGTTCAGACCTTGTCTCACTTTCCCCTTTCATCAACCATCAACAGACGTAAGATCTTTTGGTGAATACTGAAGATGCTGTCCGACACATGCACTTCTGCCGTACCGGGTGGACGGGGTCTGTCCAGTCTGGCTCTGCTGTTTGCCGTTTCAAAACCCACCTTCGTTCCTTACCTTCAGTCTGATCTAGTTGTTTGAAAGTGATTAAGCTCGTCATCAGGTTCTTTCCTCCCGGTCTTCTAACTTACCCCACGAAGCCACTCAAGCCAGCTGACCGCCCAGGAGAGTTATTTTCGGGGCCGAGAACCGAGCTCAAACTGCCGTTCAAGCACTCCCTGCCCCAGGATTTACCTGTTTAGACTGTTTGTTTTCATCCAAAGCTGCTTCCCCCACTCAACAGGAAGGAAGGAAACAGGAAGGCGAGCGTCATCTGGTCAGTGAGTCCATCCACCCGCAACCTGAGGCATTGTCACTTTCTGACCGAGGGAAAAAAAGGCAAACTTTGTGGCTGACGCAGCCGCTGTTCTTTTGCAGTCTGCTTCTCTTAGCATCATTACGCCGAGCAACACTTCTTTGAACATCGACGAATATCTCCCAGGAAGCCGATGTGCCAAGGTGATCTGTAAAACACATCTCATTGCACAGAGCAATCCAGCCTCCGGCATTGCGGCAAACCCGCCTTCAAAATGTCATCACCGGGTCAAATTGCGGATCCCAGAGCGCGCCCACAGTCGGGCATGCCAGGTAGCTACACTCCTTACCAGCCAGATTCCTCGTCTCGACACACGCCGATGAAGGAATATGGACAAGAGTACCAGTTCGCCGAATCCTGGGCAAATCCCCTTCCAGAGTTGGTTGTTGGCTCCGGAGCACCTCCAGCAGCCGCGGCAGCCGCGGCAGCAGTACCACAGGCGGACGGAATTCAGGAGCACACTGGATTCGACGGATTCGGTCTTGGAAGCAACATAAAGGAATCTGTCTGGGTGCCTCCGCCTGAGCAGCCCTGGTACAAGAGAGTTCATAATAAATGGTGGATCATTGGCGGAATCACGCTCGTTGGTACCATTGGCGTCATTATGGCCATCCTTGCTGGCACGAATACCTTTGGAAACCGTTCGTCGTCAGTTTCCCCGCCAGCTTCATCAATGACCCCCTCCGCCATGCTGACAGCATCAAGACTCCCTGAGACGTCTTCGTCGACGACAACGTCAACGACCTCGGTCTCGAACCCAACTGCGACCTCGACTACCTCATCTAGTCAGCCTACTTCGACGGCAGGTCTCCCAATCCCATGACTACCGCAGATCTCTAGCTAATCTCTTGGTACAGGCCAACCCCAACCCCAACCCCAACCTGATCAAGGACTGCTCCAACAAGGACAGTTATCACACCGATATCCAGTGGATTATTGGTGTTGGAGGCAGCACCAAGTTCGTAAACACCAACTCCGCCGAGGCCTGCTGCAAGGAATGCTTTGGCGGTGGCCCTGGGTGCGCTGGTTGGATCTACGACGGGACGAACCTATACACGCCATGCACGAAACTCATGTGGGACGGCAAGGCCAGCGGAGGGGACGACAAATGCCCTGCGGGATACACCAAACCCACCTTTACAAAGGGCGGAAACGGAATTGCTGGAGTCGGACCTTGCGCTGACGGCGCGGGAGGCGACTAGACGTCATGATCGTGTATCACTCTGGAGGGTGCGAAAGAACACGGCCGACAACAGTTCTTGGCTGTGTTACCACTACAATCTACAATTTCGGCTCGCATCCAAAGCTCGCAGCTGTCTGTTCCTTGCCTACCGCCTTTTAGCTACTGGAGGCAGCGTCATGCGAACTAAGATCTGAACTCGTCAAAATTTTCTGCCACCATTAGCTGCAGTACAAGATGTCGAGACAGAATCTCTGATTGCAGATTGTGCCAGAAACCGGCGATGAATGATAATGTACTCT